GCTTTCAGGCTGTCCGTCCCGCTGTCCCCAGCGAGGGCACAAAAGTCCCGCTTTCGCAAACAGACTAAATGATAATTTAATTTACAATTATTGGGTACCTACGCCACAACGTGTAGCGTAGTGCACCAAACGCAAGAATTTATTTGTAAGGATCAAGGCACCAAAGTTTTCGACGAGTTTTCGCTTATTTCTAGCATTACGACAGACCAAACAATCACTAGACGGAATGCTGAGAATTTGTCTGTTGAAAACCGTTGGGTTGAATTATTCCAGTACTTCCGTGCAAGCAATATTCACTTAACGAACACTTCTATAATTATTGAATATATTGTGTCTGCCTGGCCGTAACGCACCTGTCGAGTGAGTCTTTTATCAAATGAACAAAATATGGACGAGTGAAAAAGGACAGTTGAGCGTCTCAGTATTGAAAGCCATTTTGATTACAAAGATTAACATAAATAAATCATGTAATGAGGTCTATTCGTACCTAAAAACGATACCAGAGGTTTTAAAACAGATTTGTTCANATCGGCAACTTCTTCTAATTTTTCGTCTCCTGTCTTTATATTTGCTCTTTCCTTATTTTTGCGTCCCCAGATTTTGCTTTACTTTTATTTATTTTCATACAGTACTGTTTTGACAGTATCGCACCATTTTATTTAAAGATATCTTTAACTCCTTGCTAGATGCTATATCATCTGGAAATCTAAGCATACTAATCTTTTGCCCCTGTGTATCTATCTCTACAGTTGTACTGTCTTTAATGATGTTGATCGCGTCTTCGATGTATAGATTAAAAAGTATTCGTAGCTATAGCGGTGGCAGTGTGCATCCCTATCTGACTCCCTTCCAAATATTTACTTCACGACGTTGCAGCCCCATCTCTATAACTGCCTGTTGCTCTTTATAGGTACAAACTAAGTATCACTTTTCTATCTTTGTAACTCATCCCTACATTTTTAAGTATATTTAACATCTTGCCCAATTTAACATTGTCAACAGCTTTTTCTATATCTACAAATCCTATGTACGCACTCTTTCCTTTTTCTATCGTTTTCTCTAATGTTACCCGTAAAGCTAGAATGACCTCCAAATTGTACAAGATTTCTGCAAGTAATGTGCTTGAACTTGTAGTGTACAAAATTAACTTTTATTGATGTTGTAAAGACAACAAACATGTAACATTATGGCGGATTCGCCGGGTATTGCACATTCTATTAGAAATTGGAAATAACCACAAAATCGAACAAATGAGAAATAAGGTAGAAAGAAAATAGGAACGGTAGCAATATACTAAATTTTAATATTTTCATGGCCTACTAGAAGATTATTTCTCATACTTTACATAAATTACTGATAAAAAAATGCAAATATACAAAATCAGCTCTTAAGTCTAGGTAATTAATTAGAATCAGAGAAATAATCTTTTTTACTCATTTCACTAGCGCAAAACACATCATACGATGCCACGATGTCATTTAAAAAAATTACATTTTGATGTTTCTATGAAGTCATCGTTTAAATAGATAGGTACACAATTGTTAAATCTAAAAATTTATTGGAAAAAATTTTGAAGGAGAAGCTCTAAGATCTCTAGTTTTCATTTAGCCAAAAAAATTTAAAATTCTCACTGTTTCGATTCTTCAGATAAAAATATGTTTGCCATTGAAGATTATATAGAATTATGGAAAAAACATCGGTAATTAGAAGCTTGCAAAACTGTCTTTAACCTATTGGAGGCCCTGGCCTAATGGGGCCCCTATTGTTTTAACAAACAACTATTTTTGAGTAATAAGCAAAATTGTAAATTTATTGAACAATCATTTTTTTTTCTTCACAATCAGAATGAATGAATGGATAATTGTAATGTGATTCGAAATAATAACTCCTTTATCATTCATAGGTTAGTGCTTGAAATTTGTTTTGATAAAAGCAAAATCGTGTCAATCAGTTGTTCTATGTCTTTCAGCACATCACATTTTATAGATATTACCGACATATTGGTTAATCTTTCTTCAAGTGTTCTTCTTAAATCATTTTTTATTTTCAATTTAGAGAAAGAGCGCTGCCCGATGCCATTAGTTAGCATCATGCTTAAAAAGATTCTCAATGCACCTTCTACATTTGGAAATGTGTTTTCAATTTTGTTTTGTAATTAACGGTTGATTTCCTGAAAATAAATATAGAGTAGCAACTCTATAACTCGAACATCAAGGGAGACACCAAAAAATTCGAGTTATAGAATTTTCGACTTATGGAGGATTTTGACTCAGGCGGATTTTGATTCGACGTAAAGGTTAATATTTGCTATACTTACTTTACTTACATTACTTACTTTAAAGTCGTTAACTTATTTTTCTTGGAACTATAGACGTAATAAGTTTCAAATTATCGACTTCTAAAGGTAGTAAAATAAAACTGCTATGTTCGAAATACAGAGGTCCAATTTAATTTTCCGAGTTATAGAGGGAAAATATGTACCAAAATGACTTGCAGGGACTCACTGATTATTTCGACTAATTTAGAGTTGAGATTTCGAGTAATGGAGGTTTTGGGGCTTGGAGGGAAGAGAACAAAAATTTTTTTAGAGTTTTGGAGGTTTTCGACTTGTCGAGGTTCGACTTAAAGAGGCTCTACTGTATTTATCGGTAATAAATATTGATTGGTGGATGAATCTGGTCGAAACCCCCGTCGATCGCAGGGCCCTGGGTACTTGCCCAGAATGCAAAATGGAAATGAGGGGCCTGAGTAAGTGAATATGACTTCAGCACGAAGCAATAATTAGCAAAAAAGTTGTCATGACAAACGAATCTGTTTTATAGCTGCCTTCACTATGAACAAGGGAAAACAGTAAAATTTATTACAACACTTAAAAACCTATAATTTAAAAATAATTAACGTAATTGGGCTTTCGCGTGCGATTTTATAATTTACTCTCTAATAATAAGCGACCTTGTATTCCTGTGAAAAAATGTAATTCAAGCATCATCAAGTCACACAAGTCTAGTTTATCATGACGAATTACACAACGTATTATATACGACAACGAATCTTATTACCTGATTTACGTCATAATGATTTAAACTGAATACGATAATCAGAACATTATTCATTTAATGAGGAGATTTCCATTTTTCCCGTAAACTTTTATAATCATGTATTAAACGCTTAACATTGGCTTCGCGTAACTAATAATAAACACGATACGTCGAAAATGTTGTCAGGACCGTTCACTAGCTGATTCTTTGAAGAAATTTGAAAAAAATCCTGTCACATGAAGATTAGTCATCAAAATTTCATTGAAAAGAAAAGAATTGGGTAAACCGTGGTGTGTGTGACGACAATAAAACAAAAAAAACCGTATTTTATTCCATCCAACTACTAATATTGGTGGGAAGGTAGTCTCTTAGGCGTACTTTCTAATATCTAGTGTAAAAGCGAAGGGTAGGATACTATAAAAACGAATTAAGTAAATGTTTATATGTCCGAAAATTCACTGTTGTCAAAGTGCAGGCAAATGTTATTACGGCACTGGAAAAAAATACGACATTCTAATGCCGTGTTCAATCAGCTGGTAATTTGCAGCATCCGTGTTGTATTTCTTTTGTATTTTTGTACTCATGTTAACGACGTTTATATTACAATCAGTCTATAGTCGAATTGAGAGTAAATCGGTGTCACTGTCATAGGTCAGTATAGTACAGTAGTTGTTACAATAGCGTTTAGAACAGAAGAACTTTATGACATGATACTAATTTACTAATGTTAATGCAACGGTTAAATTGTACGGTCATCGATATCCCCAATTCGAAAACGTCCTTATCTTTTGATTTTGAACCATTTTGAATGCGGTGCAGGAAAATCGGCAATGTACACCCTACATGTGAGGACCGGAGGTATCCTTGATTTTATACAAGACAACCCCCAAAGTAGCACACTCCAAATGTGCAGAACCTTGGCTCATCGCATATTGTAGTGTGAATAATTCTAAAGAACAGTATTATTTGCAGCGTGTACAAGGCTTGTAAGAAACTGATTTCCAGCCGCGAATATAGACCCCAATTTATCAGTATGGTGTTGTTTATGGACAAACGTTACTTCATGAAAAATGGCATTTTCATGATACTTCCTACTGTTATCACGCAAATCAGCATATCGTGCAGCCTTCGCGATTTCAACAACGCTTTTCGATAAATGTGTGGTGCAAAATTTTTAGATACACCTTGAGATCATGTATTTGCCTTTCTTATATGAGGATATACTGCAAATGCCTGGATGTATGTTTTTGTAGTATGATGGTGCGCCCCCCTCGCATCGTAAGACTTGTGTTTGAGTTTCTAAACGAACAGTTTCCCAGACGATGGATTGGATATGCGGGTCCTGTGCCTTAGCTGGATCTTAACCCACTTGACTTTTTTGTATAGGACTACATGGAATAGCGCGAGTATCAAACGTCAGCGCAGAACGCTAATGATTTGCACAACCGTGTGATGATCGCTACAAATGAAATACGTCAAACGCCGAACGTTTTTACTTATTTTGGTAGATGTCTCAAAGTCTGTCTTTTACAACGAGGTTCAAGTTTCGTCTAGGGGCATTAGTAAGTCGAATATAATACAATTTGACGATCTAAGTATTAAGACACAATCATCGACTAAAACAAAAATGTCTCTCTCCGTCTGTCCGTCTGCCTGTATGAGCTAATCTTCGATAACGGCTGAACCTATTTTGATGAGACTTTACAGACGTTAACCAGGATTATCAGAAGTTATTTAGGCTATTTCCTCTTAATTGTTTATTGGCTGCTTTTTAATTGTCTATTGATTATAAGAACGCATGTTTTACATGAAAGAAATTGTGGGTGAATGTTGTTTAAGTAACAGCCACATAACACTATAATTTAAATCTTTAAATAACAAAACCATCATTTCAAAACTATAATGTACCTGGATGTACGAAGCTTACCTATTGCGTAATGTTAAGTGAAAAAGAAATCTTACCTTTCTTAACTTTGGTTTTTCTTTGGCTTTTGCCAATTCTTCTTCCAAATACGTGCGCACTCCAATCTTACAGTCCATGACACACGGATTAACGAAATCACCCAGAAGATCTTGCAACTGAATGTAGGAACTTTCACCGTCGTCACTCGTTACTTGTCCCTTGTATTCAGGAACATACGGCTTAAGGACATCGTTCATTAATACCTAAAAAAAAGACAAGTGGTGGCATTAGCAGTGAAACCAAATTTCGAAGGAACTCAAAATTTTAGCCGTTGCTTATTTAAAGATCCTCAAATAAACGATAGCCAAAAAACCTATAGTGATTTTTGGCGTAGACAATGATTTCCAAAGCTTGTATTAAGTTATGAACTTAAAGTGTTACAAGTTCCTACTCTTTATCAAGAAAAAATTGAAAGGCTATAAAATAAGGCTAAAAATTATAAGCCAGATTCTCCTTTGTATGATAGCGTTATTAAGTAGCTTAATCAATTCAATTAAAGGCAAAAAATGGCTTGACATTCAGGCATGGAAATGAAAATATTATAAAGTGAATTTATCAAAAATTAGAATTTGTGTATTTTATTTTATTAAAATATTTTTGTGTTTGTATCTATCTGAAACAAATAGTACCTCCTACTACCCGGCGTGTCCGAACAATGAGAGTCAATTAACATTAGCTTTTTTATTGACAATTTGATCTAATTAATTTTATGTCAGTAGCATACGTTCTAAATACCCTAATGAAACTATAAACCCATCGTATGTTCTTAGAAATAATAGAATAAGAGCAATGTAAATAAATATACTTTTAAATTCAAAGCAACTGCTTCACATTTTTTAAATATTAACTTTAAACTTAAACGCTGATTATTCTTATCTAATAATTAAGGAGTCAAATCAACTTACTTTAAAACACTTCTCTTCTTTAATACTAAGTTTTTTTAAAACGGTTCCTTGATCGGGGCCTGCCTTGAAATTTCCTTGGTGACCAGCAAGCTGAACCCAAGGGTAACGTTGTTTTTTGTACGTTTGAAAAAACGGTGTCCATTGAACTATATTCCTTAATTTTCTCCAACCGGACGGCTGAAAAGAAAGCAGACATTCAAAAGATATCCTTAAATTACCAAGTTCTAAGAAAACACTGAAAATATTACAAAAAATCGACTGGCAGATATTATTTTCGCGTCTGACGGTTTAGTTTACTGTACTTAATGGTCTGTTTAATATTAAGTAATTAAGGGTAATTAATTTAAATTGTCATCCATGTCATACAATATATTTACGTTGCATTTTATGACATGAAAAGTCAATCGAAAAAGGAATACTTGCCGCAACATTTACCTAAATAATTTATCGGAATCATAAACAAACTTGTACTACTACTACTACTACTACACCTCAAGAACTATGATTCTGAAGAAACGACGAACATATATCATTTTTAGAATTTCATTATCTTTCGAATGATATCTTACATTTGAAATTTTTAACTTTCCTTTTTTTTTTTCATAGTTAAGGATGTGGGTTGTTCTAATTTTAGGGAAATGCGAAGTTTAGCTCAGGAAAGAGTGGAAGTGCGTGTCCAACCAGTCTTAGGACTGACAACCTTATGATGATGATGATGATGATGATGATGATGATGATGATGATGATGAAGACGTTCTAGAAATCTTACGCAGATTACTAAAATTCAAACCATTGAACGTGAATATTTCTGCCCGATTTATGCTATGGATCAAGATATTTTCATCTAACTCTAACTGGACCCATGACTTGACCGATGCTGTGAATTAGGTAATAAGAAATGGGCCGATACAGTAAAAGTTTTCATTAATCGCGGGTGAAAAAATTGCAACCCAGGCTAAAAAGTTCATTATTCGCGGAAGCAATCGGTAAACAGAAAAGGATTCGGTATTTTATTAATGGGACTGACCGCAACAGATTGCTCGTACCTAATGTGAATTTTTCCGAAAACATGGGTTTCTAATCTAAACATTGTGATTTAATGCTGCGAGATAAATATCTGATTTTTTGTACGGTAAAAGACAAAGGTTCAAACTCGATACGTTTTTGGTTTTCAATAATATCGTCATTAAAAGTATTTACAAGTGCTTAAAGTTGATGCTTTTTCTAGGACACGTATTTTCAATAGAAATTAAAAAAATTAAAATGGCCTTCGACAAACTTTAGAACAAAGCTTTATCTATCTTACTACAAAATTTCAAACCACTGTTCCAGACATTTTACTCATGATATCTAGAACCGATAAGCATGTTTTTACTCTACGGCGCATGTACTACTGAATCCCCTTAATGTATCGGCATCTTCTGAGTGTGTACTGCTGGTACGTTCCGAGGCAGCTTTTATAAAAGATGAAATAGATTAAACAGAAAAGGATTCGGTGTTATTTTTCAACGTATCGGCATCTTTTAAGTACTGCTGGCTCGTGCCGAAGCGACTTTTTGAAAAAGAGTGGACTAATTCAAAACAAGAAAAAATCACTAAATTTTTTAAACCCTTGTCTAAAAGTGATTATAACGATTAATTTTAATTGCGAATTTCTCAATAAATTAATTTTATTCTGATACATATTGGTTTTATTTTGGAACCTTAGAACGTAT